AATTCCCAAATTTCCGAATTCTCAAATTTCCGAATTCTCAAATTTCCGAAATCTCACATTCCCGAATTCTCACATTCCCGAATTCTCACGTGCCTGAATTCCCACATTTCCGAATTCTCACATTCCTGAATTCTCACATTTCCGAATTCTCACATTCCCGAATTCCCAAATTTCCGAAATCTCACATTCCCGAAATCTCACATTCTTGAATTCCCAAATTTTCGAATTCTCAAATTTCCGAAATCTCACATTCCCGAATTCCCACATTCCCGAATTCTCACATTCCTGAATTCTCACACTTCCGAATTCTCACATTCCCGAATTCTCACCTTCCCGAATTTGCACATTCCCGAATTCTCAAACCCCAAATTCTCAAGTCCCCAAATTCTCAAATCCCCAAATTCCCAAATCTCCACCTCCCCAACTCCCCAAATCCTCAAATCTCCACCTCCCAATTTTCCATCTTCCCAAATCCACTATTCGTCATATTTCTCTCCCAATTCCCAAATCTTCCACCAACACCCCAATCTAATTTCCGACTGCGTGAAAATCTTCCATTAGTTCTATAAATACAATTCACAATAACCTCGCAATATCATCTTTTTTATATCTCTTCTAATGAATCGTAAACGTTGGATATTGTCGTTCGATAGGTGTGAGAATCAACCGGAGAATGCACGAGTGCGTTGCCTGAATGAGACACTTTCAACGAGCTGGTTTAATCAGACACGCTCATTATCTGACGGCGACGGTAAACTTTATACAAGGCTGATCAAATACCGAGCCAGTAAATCTGCACTTTACCTATTTACAAACGATATCGATCGTGAAGAAAAATATTCTGTCTTCGATTCGCAACAGGTCTCCTTTTTTAGCTTACTGTTTTCGTTGTTTTATTTGAAACATTATATCAGTGTTGTATTTTCATGCATTCTTTAAGTATACACTTCGTACTTGGTATACTTAATTCATGTGTATATTTGTACTTCGTATTTGTACACATATGTGTATTTGTACTTTACATTTGTACATATATGTATTTGTACTGGACATTTTTAAATGTGTGCTTATTTGTACTTTGCATTTGTACATTTATACATGTTTGAATTTGGAGAGATACATATATCTGTGTTGGGTACTTTTATATTTACACATATACGCACGTCATGTATGCACACATATGTATATCTGTGTAAATACATGTACTTGTATGGAGCTTTTATTATTTTATATATTTGTTTTTACATGTGTTTTTTGTATTATATGTATTTGTGTCGTTCATTTCTATATGTACACATATCTGTACGTCATGTGTGCACACATATGTATAGCTGTGTAAGTACATGTACTTTTGTGGGGCTTTTATTATTACATATATTTATTTTTACACATGCTTTTTTTATTATATATATTTGTGTTGTGCATTTTTATACGTACACATATCTGTATGTCACATATGTACACATACGTATATCTGTGTAAGTATATGTACTTGTATGGAACTTTTATACATATGTGTATTTATATAGTGAGTCTGTACACGTATATTTATATTGGACATTTGTGTACACATACGTATTATATTTGTATTGCACATGTGCACATATGTATGCATTTATATACATGTACATATACACATATGTGTACTCTTCGGTATTTGCATAGATACACATATGTAAATATTTTGTACCTTCATGTGCATTAGTGTACCTTTCTTCTTTGAAGTCATAAAATTGTACACAATTTATTTTTTCTTATATGTATGATGTATGATACATGTATTACATATATGTATAACATGCATGACATGATATGTATAATATTTAATGATTGATTTAATAATGCATCTAATGATTGATTGTATGTATGAATCTCATTAAAAATACTCGTACAAAAAAGACATAAATGGAATATTCTTCAGTATACAACAAAATAATATCGTGAAGCACCATGCAGCGCAAAGAGAATCAAGGATCCTGTTACCGGTGCAGCGCGATCATGGTCACCATACTGTGTACACAATCCCACGGGCGAAATTGACCGTGAACTTTTCTGACCCAGTTGCTTACATAATTGATTCGTCTTCGTTAGCGAGGCTCTCGTTGCGCCGATGCAACGAAATTACGTGACTGCCATAAACGCAACGCCACGATCTACGACAGGTTACGCGCACGGATTTCAAAATTTCACTTTGGGTTCACCGTACCTGCGCCCTTTCGTACGTACTTCCTTCATTCTTTAACGCGAATGCCACGATCGAGAATACTTTACACGTAGCGAGTGACATTTCCCACAGGAGTTCTCTTCTTTTTTCTTTACGTATGGTTTTCTTGTCTAGGGGGTGGTTTGTTTTCGAATCACGTTCCTTTCATTTTATAAATGAGACTAAATATAGCAAATGTACACTTTTCAGGCTCATTTAATTAAAATTGAAAATTGAATAAATATGAAAGTAATTAGATAAAATGTAAATTAAAAGAATAAAGGTAAAAGGTCAACAAAGGTTAACACTTTGAAAAATGATTTTGTTCCACTTTGTTAAACATGATGATTAATAGTCATTTTTCTCTCAACAAGTCTGATCAATTGTTTTAACAAAATTTAATTATATTTTGTCAATCTTACATTAATCTTATTTACGACCTAACCTAAAACTTTGTCTTCCCATACGTCATCCCATATGTGACGACAACTGTACACATGTGACAAACCTCATATTTTCGCCACAATTGAATTTCAAGTTTAATTTTAAATCCAACCCATCCATCAATGATAGCTATCTCCAAAATATCCCTAATATTTGAACATTCTTTATCCGTCAATATTATGACAAGGATGAAATCGCTCTCTCTGACGCACTTGCAAAAAAATGGAATTAATAATACCATATATCATTTTATAATTAAAATTGTTCTTTGTAAAAGTTGGTAACACAAAATGCGTCATCATGTGGGAGATGTGATGAACCTATTAATTTTTATTTTAGACAAAAATCAAGTTTATTTAGTATAAAATTGCAAACTGTTAAAAAATGTTGTAAACTGTAAAAATTGCTCCTTGACATTAAAATAATTTGGAACGTATAATTTTCAAATAGAGGAAGTCCTCGTATAATTTGTCTAACGTGTTCAGAATTTGCTTACATAAATTTGCAGAATAAAACTAGAAACACGAATGAAATTATTAAAATAGAAATTTTATAAAAATAAGCTTAAGCGTAACTTAGAGAAAATAATTAAGATCAACAGAGTAATGAACAGAAGTGTATTAATTTTGAGAATTTAATTATCGAGAATACGTGACTCCGTCGAATGGCGTCAAAGCGCTATTAACTCCCTTATGAAGTAACACCTTCGTCCAATATGCATACGTAAATTCATCGTCTCTATTCGAAACACGATACATCAATCAATTTCGCGTAAACGTGCCACCGAAATATCCCTCTTGAAACAAAAGCGTTCCCCCAAGCAACGGAGTACATAATAAAAAAAGAAAGAGAGAAACGATCAATTAATCGAGTAGCGTGTTTCCATTTGTATTCAATTTCGTCCCGTGAATACACGGCTACGAGAACACGTCGTTGTCGTTCAATAATAAACGTTTCGATGCATTCGTGAACGGCTACGTGTCGATCGTACACGAAGGTATTATTAAAAGGTCCTTCCTGCTTAATGTAACATAACGTGCATGATAATCGAACGGACTTGTATCGATGTTGCGATGCGTAGGTGGATACACATTGTACGCTTATGGCTGGGGTAGCGGTTCTCAAATCGTTCTGGCAGATTTGCGTTTAGATGATTTTGATATTTTATAGGTGGTTATTGAATTATTTTTTTATGGCTGTATACTTTTCAGTTTATATGTTTGTAAATTTGGAAATGTGTAGAGTGCAATATTTGGAGATTCTGTATTTTGAAATTTGGGAGATAGACAATTTTTATGTGTGAGTTTGGGAATTTGGATTTTGGGGAATATGAAATTTTCAAAATTTCAAAATTATGAATCTTCAAGTTTGAGAATTTGAGGATTCCTAAATTACTGAGTTTCCAAATCCCCAAATACCTAAATTCTTGAATTCCCAAATCTCCAAATTTCCAACCCCCCAAATTTCCAACACCTCAAATTTCCAAATTTCCAACCCCTCAAATTTCCAAATCCTCAAATTTCCAAACCCCTCAAATTTCCAAACCCTCAAATTTCCAAACCCCTCAAATTTCCAAACTCTCAAACTTCCAAATCCTCAAATTTCCAAATCTCCAAATTTCCAATCCCTCAAATTTCCAAACCCTTCAAATTTCCAAACTCTCAAATTTCCAAACTTCCAAATTTCCAAATCCCCAAATTTCCAAACCCCAAAATTTCCAAATCCCCAAGTTTCCAAACCCCCAAATTTCCAAATCCCCAAATTTCCAAACCCCCAAATTTCCAAGCCCCCAAATTTCCAAACTCTTCAAATTTCCAAATTCTCAAATTTCCAAACTCCCAAATTTCCAAATTCCCAAATTTTCAAACCCCCAAATTGTCAAACCCCCAAATTGTCAAATCCCCAAATTTCCAAATTCCCAAATTTCTAAATCTCCAAATTTCCAAACCTCCAAATTTCCAAACCCCCAAATTTCTAAGCCCTCAAATTTCCAAATCCCCAAAATTTCCAAGCCCCCAAATTTCTAAGCCTCCAAATTTCCAAATCCCCAAAATTTCCAAATCCCCAAATTTCCAAACCCCCAAATTTCCAAACCCCCAAATTTCCAAACCCCCAAACTTCCAAACCCCCAAAATTTCCAAATCTCCAAATTTTCAAATTCCCAAAACTCCCAATTTCCCAAATTTGCAAATCCCCCAAATTCCCAAATTTCCAAATCTCCAAATCTCTAAATCTCTAAATTGCCAAATCATTCTATAAACGCATATGTCTCGTCACTCTGTATGTGTCCTACAAAGACAATCGCTGCCTACGATCTAATGTCACTAAAGTTTCAACTTTCAAGTTAACTCACCCTCCCAGTCTCTTGGTAGAGAGATGCACGTTCTTTGGATCGCCTACTCACCTGAAACAATCGACACGAAATCATTAGTTGATTGATCAACAGCTATTGCCAGTGCAATAATTACGCAACGTTATAAATAATCGTGTAAAAAGGTTCGTTTTCTTTCTGTCATGTCATCGACGGTCAGGAGAAACTATTGTAAAGGTATGGCAATCGAACGGGTATAAATTGTGGACTAACGAGATGCTAATTGAATAGATACAATTTTTATACAAAATTTGATACGATTCTATTTAACACTGGAACATATGTAATTTTTGTATTATTATAAGTAATAATTAGGAGATTCAATAAGTTATTGAAAAACATACTTAAATATTTTTTTTAAGGTAGAGGGTTGATTTTTTAGCTCGAAGCTAATTTATGTTCCACTCATCGATTATCTATTATTTTACATTAAAAAATCATTTATTTTGAATTAGATGCTCGTCTGAGTTTATAGAAAATTTTCTTTGAAAATATAATTTTCTATAATTATAGTAATTATTATAACGAGGCGTGCATTTCGTATCATTTGTTCCAGTGTCAATGTAGCGTTCGTTAAAAATATTTCTACTCATGAATGAATCATTGTACAACTTAAATCGAAGAACAATATACTTCTTTCTTTGGAAGTGATATGTATAGTAGCGGCGCATGAATATTCACTGTGTATTAATAAATCATGCAACCATGCATCGATTTCATGAACAAAGTTTCTTAATGGCAGGAAATCATGTAACCAATTCTGACCTCTTACCTCGACTGACTAAATGTATAAACTTTACTCTAAATATTAATACACTATCATTCAAGAGATACAAGTCTAGACAAAACAAGAAATCGCAAGGTAGAGTTGCTTCTCTAGTACTCAAGCATTAACTATTTCTAAAACACTCGATACAAAGATTGTAACAAAATAATCATTTCAAACAATGAGCAGTTAAAAATTTATTTGCTATTGAAGATATTTAAGGGAACAATATTCAAACACATTTTCGTGTATAAATAAATGTTACATAAATAATAAAACTCTTGCTTAAAAGATCGTCAGAATGAGAGGCATCGTTCAATTTAATGAATTCTCTTTGGAGGTAGCAGAAATTTATGGCGATAAAGGAAGACCAAATTCGTCTAAGCTCCCGTAACATCATTTCGGTTGCTCCGAAACTGTTGGGAACGTAACGAGAACATTTAATATTCGTTCCGGGAACAAAATTTTCCCTCCCAGCGTATTTTACTGGCCACGTTCCAGCTGGATAATTTTCATAGAGCAAACCACGGTGCAACGACTGACAAATTGCATCGACGTGTCACTGCACTCCACGGCACACGCTGATAAAGTTCATTGGGTCTTTGTCATTTCCCGCCGCTCTTTGTGCCACCGCTACACAGAATAATAGTCGGCTCGATGAAACTTCTGTCGGCGAAACAAATTGACAGAGAATGCGAAAGCGGAACGACATCCTACAGCCTGGGCTTCCTTTCGATAAGAAACCATATAGTTATCATCTTTAAATTCTGTCACATCTTTAAATTCTCAGGTTTTCGAATATTAACTCTTTGCGCTCGAGAGGTGACTCTCGGTCACCATTTTATTTAATACAATAATTTGAGATAAGCATTTTTTAACTGATTCTATAATTTGACACGTGTGACGTATAAACATAGTGAAACAAACAATACTGGAAATTATTAGCAGAGAAATAATAACCTCAAGAATATTTATTTAACTTCTTAATTAAGTTTTAAAGTTACTGTCAAATTACCTTCGAGTGCAAGGGGTTAAGTTTCTAACCTAACTTTTTAATTTTCCAAGTCGTCAATTTTTGAATCTTCAAATTTTTCAACAGCTAAATTTTCAAATCACATTTTGAAATTTTCAAATTCTTGAAATTTAATGTTTGTAAATTTTCAAGCTTCTGATACCAAAATCCATAGATGCTAATATCTTATGATATTTATATCCCTAGATACTAATACCTCGTGATGTCAGTATTCCTACATACACGTGACCCTAGATGAAAATATTCCTAAATTCCAATACCTTCAGGTACCATTATCAGCAAATTCAAATGTCCTTAGATGAAAATCTCCCTAGATGCAAATATCCCTAGATATTAATACCGTCAGATACCATTATCAGCAAATTCAAATGTCCTTAGATGAAAATCTCCTTAGATGCAAATATCCCTAGATATCAATACCTTCAGGTACCATTATCAGCAAATTCAAATGTCCTTAGATGAAAATATCCCTAGATGAAAATATCTCTAGATTCCAATACCTTCAGGTACCATTATCTGCAAATTCAAATGTCCTTAGATGAAAATCTTCCTAGATGCAAATATCCCTAGATATCAATACCTTCAGGTACCATTATCAGCAAATTCAAATGTCCTTAGATGAAAATCTTTCTAGATGCAAATATCCCTAGATATCAATACCTTCAGGTACCATTATCAGCAAATTCAAATGTCCTTAGATGAAAATATCCCTAGATGAAAATATCTCTTAGATTCCAATACCTTCAAGTACCATTATCAGCAAATTCAAATGTGCTTAGATGAAAATATCCCTAGATGCAAATATCTCTAGATTCCAATAACTTCAGGTACCATTATCAGCAAATTCAAAAGTCCTTAGATGAAAATCTCCCTAGATGCAAATATTCCTAGATATCAATACCGTCAAATACCAATATCAGTAGATCCAAGTGTCCCTCGGTACCAACATTTCTTAAATTTTCAAATCCCTAAATTTTTAAATTCCCTTGCAAATTGTCAAATTTCTAAAGTTCTCAAATTCCAAAATCTCCAAATGCTAAAAAACTTAAATTTCCAAAATGTATCCCTAAACTACCGTATCCCTAATATCCAACATACTGAAATATGCAATATACTATAATATCCTAATGACTGAATGTTATACCACCAAACTAACCTCTAAATAATCCAAGAAGAAAAAAGCGAACAAACCGAAACAATCCATTATTTCCTCGTTCGAAACAGTAGTTATCGTAACATCGGCAGCGAGAATCCACGGCCAATAATTAACCAAGCAGCGATTCAGTATGGTCGGTAAATTATTTTCCAGGCGAAAAGTAACAGCAGTAACAGAGAACGAGGCAGCGATTCCTGATAATGGCGAACGCGCAACACGCGAATTTTTCCGCTTCCGTATCGCGATCCTCGTTTCCTGAGTCACGCTGGACCCGGCTCGATTCAGAGAAATCCAATTATCAGTGGCAAATGAAGGGGTCTTAACGGTGACGCTTGGCGTGATAAGTGGCGTGATAATGGGCACGGGGAACGCGTGCTCTCGCGCCCGACCGTTCGCATAATGCCATTCTTTGATGAGGATATCGGAAAGGTCGGACCTGTACTGCGGATGCTCCATTATCGTTCGTTCGCTTCTTACGGCTAATTATCGATAATGTTTGTCCCTAATAAAATTCGACCTATCCCTTCTGCGTTTTCCTGCGAGAGAGATAAAACAAACGAAACGTGGCGATATCTCGATGCGGTTCAAAGGCGTAGCCTTGAGACTGAGGTATCGACGTATTTGTTAACTGTCAGATTCTTAAAAACATCGACGAATATGATTTGAATAAAGTATAACACTTTGACTGCCATGGATGTTTAAATTCACATATGAATCTATCACCTGTTATTAGGGATTTGTATTTAAGAATACAGTCGCCGAATTATGCGTACACTTACCTAATCGGGAATACGTGTCAACTGCATGGAATTATATACAGGGTGTCTCACAAGAGATCCTTCGAATCGAGGGTAGTTGTGGTGATTCTGGATAAGGTTTTCCTTTACAAAAATGAGATGTGAAGCTTCGTTTTTGAATTATTAAGGAAGAAGATGGACCAGTCACACCGCATGGAAATACGGTGTGTGGAAGCACGACGCGTAAAATTTCGGCGCGTAGAATTACAACGTGTAGAAATACAGCGCGTGGAAGTATGGCGCATGGAATTACGACGCGTAGGAATACAGCGCGTGGAAGTACGATGCATGGAATTACTACGCGCAGAAATATGATGCGTGGAATTACAACGCGTAGAAATACAGCGCATGGAATAACTACGCGTAGGAGTACAGCGTGTGGAAGTACGACGCATGGAATAACTACGCGCAGAAGTATGGCGCGTGGAGTTACAACGCGTAGAAATACGACGCGTGGAGTTACAACGCGTAGAAATACGGTGCGTGAAATTACTACGCGTAGGAGTACAGCGCGTGGAATTACAACGCGTAGAAATACGGTGCGTGAAATTACTACGCGTAGGAGTACAGCGCGTGGAAGTACGACGCATGGAATTACTACGCATAGAAATATGGCGCGTGGAGTTACAACGCGTAGAAATACGGCGCGTGGAATTACAACGCGTAGAAGTACAGCACGTGGAAGTACGACGCATCGAATTACTACGCATAGAAATATGGCGCGTGGAGTTACAACGCGTAGAAATACGGCGCGTGGAATTACAACGCGTAGAAATACGGTGCGTGAAATTACTACGCGTAGAAATACGGTGCGTGAAATTACTACGCGTAGGAGTACAGCGCGTGGAAGTACGACGCATGGAATTACTACGCATAGAAATATGGCGCGTGGAGTTACAACGCGTAGAAATACGGCGCGTGAAATTACTACGCGTAGGAGTACTGCGCGTGGAAATATAGCATATGGAAGTATGACGCGTGGAAATATAGCACATGGAAGTATGACGCGTGGAAGTACGCCAATTGAGTTACGACGCGTGGAAGTACGGCGCGTGAAATTACTACGCGTAGGAGTACTGCGCGTGGAAATATAGCACATGGAAGTATGACGCGTGGAAGTACGCCAATGGTGTTACGACGCGTGGAAGTACTACGCGTAGAAATATAGCGCGTGGAAATATGGCGCGTGGAATTACAATGCGTAGAAATATGGCGCGTGGATTATGCATGACCTACAGTTGTGAGACTCCACATCTACACTAGTTGTGAGACACCCTGTAT